GCCTAATATCAGTAATCAGTCACCCTAATTAAATATGGTTTAAATTTAAATGAAAAATTAACAAATCTATATGGTCTTTACAGATGGCTCTATCAAAAGCCTTACAGTTTATGGATAAACAAGATCTTGAGTGTGCCATCTGCCTCAACAGGTTTCAACAACCCAAGACCCTGAAGTGTATGCATACCTTTTGTCAACAGTGTATCCATAAATGGGTAGAAACTCATGGAAAAATGAAATGTCCAATATGTAACGAAGAACATGATCTATTGAAAGAAAACATACAACAGCTGGCTTCAAATACAATGATAAGTCAACTACTAGAGTATGTCATCAAAACAGAAGAACAAAATCCAACTAAATGCTCTTTTTGTGACAACCAACCAGCATACCACTGCTCAACATGTCAACTGTATCTATGTAGAGCTCAATGTGTCAAACAACACAAGACAGTACATTCAACAAAGGATCACCCACTTTACACACTAGACATGAATGAACACGATGGCAAACCAACTAACTGCCAAGTTCACTGCAACACCCCACTGGAATTTTACTGCTCCTATTGCAACAAATCAGCATGTGAGAAATGTGAACACATCCTTCACTGTCACCAAGAACAACATAAAGTGATTCCAATGTCAACTGCTATAGATGAGTTTAAAAATGATGCCGATGAAGTTGTCAACTTAGCACTTGAAATTAAAAATGAATTAACAGAAAAACTAGATTTAATGGCTAAAAGTAAATTATTATCTAAATCACAACTAAAGTTAAGTAGAAAAGCCATTGAAACTCAAGAAAACAAACTTATTAAGAAAGTTCAAAAGAAAAGCAAAGAATTAATTTTGGATATGGAAAAGATATACAAGGAAAAAGAAGATGAAATTGATAGTAAATATAAAGATATGGATTCAAAGATAACTCAAGTGAATAATCTAATAGCCTCAATTAATAAAATGATGAACAAACCAGAAAAAAGAGAAGCACTTGGATCCCATAAGACTACTATCAACGCTGTCAAAGACAAGGACCTAGCAACTGATATTGATAAATTATTTGATAAAATAAACAGTACACCTAATTTCATTCCATTTACACACATGGATGAGTTCATGAATAGAGATGGCATTGGTAAAATCACAACTGCTAATAGCATGAGGTATATGGTTGCTGATGATGAAAAAGTAATTACTGTCACAGAAGAACAACCATTTGTAGTGAAAGTATCAAGTCCAGCAGAGAGTGATGAATGCCAATTAGCTGCAACATTAATAAACTCATTTGATAAAGAATTGCTAGCTGAGGTACAATACATTGGAAATAGACAGTACAAAATAACAGGTAGATGCAATGTGGAAGGTGACTGGCAAATGAAGATAACTGCTGGAGCTGCACACATCAAAGGATCACCAGTAAATATCAAGGTGGAAGCACTGGGGCTTGTTAATACCATTGATGACATAGCCGATATAGTTGAACATTTTTGTGTGACAGATGTAGTGTTAGATAGATATGGACACTTATTAGTATCACATTACAGTAATGAAATTTTCAAGTTTGATCAATCAGGTTCATTTGTTGCTAGTATACAGGTACCACAAAATGTGAAAGTTGATAAAATGCATCAAATGGGTGATGGTCACATGATATATAATGATTACTTAGCAAAATGTGTTGTAATGTGTGATGATAAATTTGAAGAAATCCGCTCATTTGGTAAAGGCATGTTGAAATATCCAACTGACTTGACATTAAACAAGGAAACTAGAGCCTTGTATGTAGCAGATCAGGATGCTCACTGTGTGTATAAATTCAATGTTGATGATGGCAGGCTGCTGGGTAAAATAGGTTCAAAAGGTAGTAAAGTAGGTCAAATAGAGAGACCGCAAGGCGTCACTTTAACTAAGGAAGGTCATGTGATTGTTTCTTCAAATTCAATTAACGCAATACAAATGTTCGATGCAAATGGAAAGTTTATGAGAATACTGGTACCCTTTGGTTACAAAGATGGCAAGGTTTTCCGTTCTTGTGGCGTAACCATGGATATGGATGAAAATTTAATAGTATCAAGTGGCAATGGACTACAGTTATTTGATAAGAATGGTATATTCATAAAACAAATAGATCATCTTGAATATGATGAAACTACCATTTGTTCAAATGGCATCACTGTAATCTCCAATAGACCAAGAAGAGTTGCAGTGACAAACCACAAAGCAAACAATGTTCAAATATTCAATTATTAAGATGACATTGAAATGGCCTTAAAATTTATTTACGGAAAATGTAAAACAATAATAAAATGACTAGCAATACTGTAAGTTTAGGAATAGCTTCATCATTTGTGCCATTCAGGCACTAATACTGTATGTATTTGCATTTCAGCATTACACAGAGTCAACACAAATTTCTATGTATGATTGATAAATAAAGTTATCATTGTATTAATTTATCAATAAATATCTTTGATTGATATATTCAAACGATTCAAACAAACATATGAGAATTATTACAGTATATACAATTATTCATGTTTATACATCAATTAAAATTTATAGACCATCATGTACTGTAGCAATCTTGTCATGTATAAAATAATTGAAATTTTACAAGAAATACATGAATTAGTAAATAAGCAGTATGTAATTTGACATAATCTTGACAATACAAAGCACTGATACTCATTAAGTACCGTTCCTGTGTGGAGTCAAATTAAGTTCCAATGTGTTCTTTGTGTGGACATTTTTATTCTTATATATATATTTATTATAAAAAGACTAAAGTCGGTTTTCCACTAGACAAATGTATTCACGCGAATCGAAAGCGTTGTTCATGCGCATGCGCATTAACATTTCCATCGGAGTTTTCGCTTCAGCGAAATTGGTAGTTCGAACTGTTTCTACTTTTTGCGAAGCGAAAAATGTGTGTAACCAATCAGAGCTCAGAAACCGAACCGACGCCTTCAATTCGTGTGAATAAATTCGTCTAGTGGAAAACCGGCTTTAGTTAAGACACGCCAATCAATAGTCAATAGTGACTACAATATCACTGACTTAAGAGAAGGGAAGATTAGGACTTAGAAACAAACAAGTGGTGGACGACGAGAGTTGCTGGTACTCGGTTACCGGGTAGCACAAACACGAAGAAAATATCTTTGATCGAGTTACTAATCCACATATCAAGCGCCCTGAGCATCTTATGTTAGATGGATATGGCGACATATAAAACTACACTATATATAATTCAACCTTACCAAACTCTAAAAGGGTTTAACTCATAATATAACTTCTTAACTGAGAAACCTGGAGTTAATTGTACATATGTAGTAGAGTAGTTGATGCTAAATATTAGCTTTGCAGCATAGTACCAAAGGAACTGTTGTGACTATCTCATTGAAAGTCATTCATCCCACCAACCAACAAACTGTCGCATCTATAACATTCCATCTGTATCTGATTTCAGTAACGGGGGAGGGAGGCATTATAAACTATAAATAATTAATATCCTAGATTTATATTAAAGCACCTAATGTTATGAAACCTCTAAGCGCTGTATATAAACTAAAATCTAATATTTTAAAAACAAACGGACCAAATGGTAAAAAATTCCTGCCATGCCATAAAAAAGAGAAGTCTTTAATAATAGAATACTTTAATATTAATATACTCAGATTCTATGTTTGAATGTTTGACTCTGTAGTAAAGCATAAATTACAGAAAATATCAGAATCATATCACCACAGAATATTTCAAAACTAAAAATGAATGCTAAGTCATGCCGTACCATTTGAAAATCCTGCAGCAATCTGATTGTGAGGCTGGCATGGCAACCAATCCAGGCACCAACATTGGCCAATCATTGACCAATCACTGGCACTAGATGCTGGCTTTAGTGTCAAAGTTGGTGTAACGTCGTAGAAACCTTTAGAAGTGGACAAAAAGAAACATATTGTCTATGAATGTTTTAAAAAATATTCTGTAAATTTGAGTAAAACAAAGCTTCCATGATATTTAAATATAAGATTTAAGAGAGAGAGAGAGGGAGCAGGTTAGCACAGTCGGCTAATCTGGTGGTAGCCACTGTACTGTGTGTGCGCTGAACCGTGGAGATCACTTGGTCCCCGGTTCAATTCCCATCGCTGCTCTCCTTGTGTTTCAGCTAGAGGGCTGAAATGCTCATTATTAAATTCTCATCATGTCAATGAGGAAAAGGTCTATTTCAAACTTTATATGATTTTTCTTGAAAATGGAAAATGTAATCATAATTGTAATTGGGAAAAGAGAATTATATTAAACTGTAATTGAAAATATAAGTGTAAGTAGAATTCTAAGTGATTACATTTCTATTGTAATTGACCCCATGCCTAAATATGACATTATCATGTCCATACATAGGTGATATAATAGCAAGTCAGATATTTTTCAACATAACATTTTACTCTGAACAGATTATCAAAGATTTAGCCACCGTAAGTAATATTACCAGGTACTGCTTTAATTAATCATGATGCACAATAAACTAATCGGGAAATTCATCATCATTAGCAAAATGAGAGAAATATATTTTAATGGCTTACCAGGTTTCCCATCATTCCTTGCATCACTTAGCGCCTCTTCATGCGGAACTGAGAACACGCAAACAGTGGAGTTAGAACAAGCAACAGCAAACACCCCTAGGCGAGAGACAGTACCAGGCTGAGTGTCAGCGGGGTCATCCCAGCAACCTGACGGACACCACTTTAAGTCCCAAATCGCACCACAGTTATGAGCTAGGCCATATGATAGGTAAGGCTTCTCATAATTTCTGTAATAAACAAAGGCAGAATGTAATAATCATCAAAATAAGGGGTCCCAAAGTGAGAAAAACCACTTCAGGCAGATTTGATTTAATGAGCTTACTCAGCGGTCCCAAGTCTCCAAAAATAGAGATGGCCTCCCGCAAATAAGCCAGGAAACTCCCAGACAAAATAACCAATCTCCCGCAAATTCATATTATTTTGCATGTTTTTTGGTAATTTATTTTTCATTTCTCTCACAGAAATCAGAAACCTGACAGGTGTCACCATGCGCAGCAAAGTCACATTTAATCAGATCTCTCGAAAGTGACTTCCTCCAAGGACCCCAACTTTCTTCACAAAGCATTTATTTTAGTTTTCTGAACACTGTGACTTGGACTATGGCCACCTGACTTCAGAGAGTTAAAGTCAGACTCGGGAGGAAAACATTTTTTTGATATGTTGTAGATCTGATTTTTCTAAGACAGAAAAAAATTTGTTTGACAAAGAACTGGGGAACGGTGAATGAGATACAGATTTTTTAATATTTAAAAACTGGGGGAAAAAGAGGTAAAATTGGGCGGTTACGCCCCTTTCCCCCCAGTTTTTAAATATTTAAAAATCTGTATCTCATTCATCGTCCCCCAGTTTTTCGTCAAACAACTTTTTTCAGTCTTAGAAAAATCAGTTCTACAACATATCAAAAAATGTTTTTCCTCCGGAGCCTGACTTTAAGTCATTAGTATATTGCTCAATATTTATGCAAACACAAATTGCTTGGGGGATACTATCGCTTTTTGTTGAGGGTGTGTGTGAAATTTTGCAAAAACCATGATAAAAAAACATGGAAATATATAAGAAATATGTTCTTATAATTTGTTATCCTTTATTCATTATCTATTATCAAGATAATTATCATAAAGAGAGAGGGCAGCACAGCTTAGCAGACTATAAAAGTAGCTGTGAGTGTGCACCGAATCACATAGATCATCATATCTAAAGCCCTGTTAGACAATCAACTTTATTTAACAAAAGCATGTGACATGGCTATGTCTAAATATGGTCAAGATGACATCAGATCATGACCATATATAGGCACATCATGACTATATATGGGCATACAACAGAAAATTTGATAGTCTGGACTGAGCTTAAGATTCACTTCTATCGCTGCTTTACTTGTTTAAAAAAAAAAATTAATGTTGTCGTTTGAAAACAATTCTTAAATCTTGATGACTTACCCATTATCTAAAAGACAACCAAACCTCCAGATCTGAATAGCACCAGGATAAACATAGCGAGTGCAGCATTTATGGACAGAGTCAAATGTTTGATGACAGCTAATTGCTGCATACTGATTGGCCGAATGACTGCTGACTGGGGTTGGACACCAAGCCATGGCCCACACTGGCCCACCTACAAACAGGTTTACATTCTTATCTATTGTGGATAAAAAAAAAATACAAAACATAATATTAGATTTATTTAAATATTAAGAAAAACAATTTAATTGTTCTTCTTATATCATTTATACTGTACAGCGCCTTTTCTTTGCAGATACAAAACGCTTCATTTCCCTGGTCATTTTTGGTCCATATGCTTTTTTTAAGTGTTGCTGCTGGTAATCAGGGCAGGAGCAGGTAAACCCACCAGGCGGCCATTTATACTTCTAGGTGGAGAGAAATAATGAAGATTATTTGCCTTTCTGTACAAGTGAAATGTACAGAGAGGGATTGAAACCCTGACCCCAAGGTTGGGAAACCAAACCATTCCCGCTGCTCTTATCAACATTCATTAAGTCACAGATAAAAAAAAAAAAAAAGTTTTCAATAATTCACAAAAGTAACTTATTTAAAGGTACAGTAATGCAAAGATTATACAAGTGTTTATGTAATGTAGTTACGTTAATGTAATGTAGTTACAATTACATAGCTCTTTACACTGAAACGGTCTCAAAGGACTTGAGGTGTGGACTAACTTGCTTCTCCCATATGTAAGGGTCTCTTGATGTCTAAGCTACATGGTAAACGGGTACCAACTACTCTCGTCCGTCAACAACAGCAGCTGTATAGACCGTAACCCTTTACTTGCCTCGAAAAAGATGTACCAGGTTCTTTAAAGTGCACAAGAGCCAACTGCGAACACTGGGCCTACAGTTTAGAATTCTTCTAAGAAGACTTTTCCACCACCAGAATCAAAAGGTAAGTGTGCCGTGCCATTCAAACTAGCATTGATGTGTCTGAACATTTAAACATTAGTTGTTATTATTCTAATTTTCACTTTAAAGCTAACAACTTCAAAAGTTAATTAATATCTTATAAATAATATCGATAATAAACATAATGATTCAGACTATATTTATACAAACTGTAGTCATTTTGTTCTCATTCATCTGTTTTATGTTTGTTTCACTGTGATCACCTAAAATAAGCTTCCAGCTTCTACAATTGATCCCAAAAGTGGATTGTTTACTTTATCTTCAAAATACTATAATAATTTGAGTTGATACTTACCAGTTGCATGAGTAGTAACGCCATAGCGCTCTAGTCTTATATACTCCTCTTCTTCATCTTGCTTGTCCTCAATATCAACACTTTCGTCATCAACTTTGACCTTAAACCTGGGAGACATCATGCACTTTGGTTCAGCCTTAGCGGCATCACTAGAAGAATAAAACTTGATTGTTTGTTATTTGGAATTTATATAGCACCTATCCTTTAGGTCACAAAGCGATTTTTTTTTTTTTTTTTTAGGTCATTGGGTATAAGTATTGCTGCTGTAATCAGTGCAAGGGCCGGCAACCCAACCAGGTACCCATTTATACTCCTGGGTGGAGAGAAGCAATGCAGATACAATACATTGCTTAAGGACACAAGCGAAGTGCACAGTGAGGGATAAAACCATGACCTCAAGAATGGAAAACAAAACCGTTTCCACTGCGCCAAATGCCTTCCACATATTCAATAAATCAGAAAGATACAAATTATTATGATTAAAAATGTATTACAATTTTCATCAGTAGTGATTGAGGTATGAGTCTGAATGCAAATCTGCTTTCATTGATTGAGGCCTTGTGCAACTTTTATCCACATCTTCACACAGTAATAAGTAAAGCAAGTTGGTCATAGTCGAGAAACTACATTATTGTACTGAATGTAAATTTTGTTTGATGGATAAATGACATACATGATCCATATTTACAATAACCCTTTATTTTTCAAACACCGCATTACCTATACCAATTATGCATGCATCCTTGGATAGCACACGATTCAACTGTGAATACTGCCCTCTATGTGTAATCCTCATACCTTTCCGACAACAGTTTCCAATTGTTTAACTGTGCACTGGATTCAGAAAACAGTCTTTCGTCCTGGCTGCAGTGGTTTTCTTTTTTCCTGTTAAAATGAAACAAAAAATAATAAAAACCTTCAAAATATTTATTACTAAAATTTAATTTATTTATCATTTGAAAAAAAAAAAAAACTTATCATGAATTTGAGCATTGATGATTGATCCTACTTGTAGTAGGACACTTCTCTTTCTACACTATTTATATATGTTACTGTGGAGTAAGAAACTAACACTGTCACAGTGATTTAGTTCACTTATAGGTTCCCGCCTGCTCCCTCAATTGACTGTTATTGTGTCTGTGTATGTTCTTAATATTGGCAATAAAAAATACAAGCAATTAAATTTTAAAAATTTAATTTTTTATGGTCTTTCTAGACTAATTGTATACTTCAATCTTTAAATTTTATTTTGTTATTTTAAAAATATTTTTTATGGTCTTTCCATACTTACACCCATGTTCTTAAAAAGAACTTTAGTCGAACTTCATTTAGTCTTGTTGCAACCTCAACTTAAACTTGTATTCATAAGCAACATATTTGAAGTTCTAACTATGACTAAATCAATTCCTACTTTTAGTTCAGCTGAAGATGGCTGTCATGCAACGACTATCAAACTAACCAATGAAAAGAGCTCATTTTAATAGCAGACGAAATTTGAGAGATCCAGTAACGCGGATGCATAATAAGCTGCTGTCTGCCGTTAAAAAAAAAATTTCTTCATAATTCATAATATACCATCATTCGCTTAATTAATTTCCTATAATAATAACAATATTAGTCGTTACCGTATCGATAGAGAAGTTGAACAGTCACTGAAAATTTGGTTTCTTTGGAGAACTATTATAGTTGAAGCCATGCAAGGGTGGCGCCATCTTTGTTGTTGTTACGGTGAAGTTATGTGACCGCAATGTGAGGGGATTTCATGCAAATCGGGAACCATCGCATAGGCTGACTAAATAAATTAGCCTGCAGCAGTATAATTTTAGTCGAGGTTCATGTGATTTAATTGTAGTGCTAGTCAAATTTCATTTTAGGATTACAAAATGATGTAATTTTGTTTAAGCTCGAACTACGACTTAAGACCATTTTAAGAATACCGAGGAGTTTGTATACTTCAATCTTTAAATCTATTTTTGTTAAAAACTTTTTTCTGTTTAAAACATAATACATTTTCTGCTATGTCTACAATTTTATTGGCAGTTTTTAAAAAATTTATTCAAAGAATTTTTCCCTTACCATTTGTAGTACTGCTTTATGCACTGCCCAGGAATGAAATAAGAATGGTTTCCTGATGGTAGAAAAATGCATAATTCTATAACAGACTAAGATTCCACCAACTAAAATTATTTTATTCAAATGAAAAGAAGATATCTTATAAAACAATCATAAGACTAAACATAGAAATAATAAATTCCAAACTTTAATATAGCAGTTGGCTCAACAGTTTTCTCACTCCACCCCAGTGGTCCAAAGTCTTCTGCAAGTCGCGGGAGTCTCCCGAAAGTCAGGACAGCCTCCTGCAATCCCGCAAGAATCTCACGAAAAACAGCCCCTCTTCTGCAAATTCATATATCTGAAGATTTTCACCAATTTATTATCAATTGTCTCACAGAAGTAAATTATGGAATGCTCCCCCAGGGAGTATGTGCTCCACCCGCACAAGTGCGGTAAATTGGTAATTATGAGAACCGCTCTGGGACTTGGATTAGAGTGTTATTACTTTTATTTTAAGAAATAGCCAACTACATGGCATGACTTACTCATTCCCCCTCCACATGGCAAACAAATTGGTTCCACTAAAAGTGGTTAAAATACTAAAAATGACCAGTAAGTATTCATCGGAATATGGATTTAGTTCCACATTTTGTGATTTAGTTCCACATTCAAATTTTCCACACCCCCTTGTCCGAAACTAGCTTCCGCCCCTGCAACAGAAGATGTGCGTTTCATTATACAGTGTTTACAACCCCAAGACATGTTTAGGTAGTACCGCTTCCGCCATCTGGTAGTTGTACTGAATTCCACGCAGACAATCTCTTTAGGATAAAAATCCATGCTTTGCAAGGATAGAAATGAACCATTTAAACTATTAGCCTTAATGCAATATAATAAAGATGAATTAAATCATAAATAAAATAATGTAGCTTTTAGTCATGAAAACATAATTCCTAACAAGGTAATTTCTTTTATAGAATAAAGTATAAATTTCTTACTGTGTTTCGCTACTTCATAATCTACGAATCTACCGCCCTCATTGTAATCATTCTCATCAATGCCTTCGTCCTCATCCTCTTCATCACTGTCCGATTCAGACTCCATTATGGGTATGTTGTGCTCAATGAAATACTTATCCCTTTCATCCTAGGAAATAAAATTAGAATATATTAAACAATGGCACAGTCATGGGGAGGGGGAAGCTAGCTACAAAAAAAAATGGAGAAAAAAATTATATTAAAATTTAAGTCTGAGAGTGCCATATATGGCCATCTAGAGGTGCCATAATCATAAATTTTCTCACCCCAGACCCTCCATCTGTAAAAATCCCTCCTGGGCCCCCTATTTCAAATTCATGGATCTGCCACTGTTAAATTAACAAACGTAAAGCTGTAAAATGATTACAAATCAAAATGGCATATTACCTCAGTTCTGGGTTCAAATTCTACCCCCATCCTTTTCATTGTTATCATCTTCATCACACTACCGCCATTATCACTTTATATCTTTTTTCATCATTATTTTTGCTGTCAGGGTCCTTTATCTGTATATCCATTCTCACTGCTGTCATTACTGTCATTGTCAATTGTCATTGTTGCACCACCTGTATAACCGCCTGTATAACAATGTCGTCGTCGCCATCGTCGTAATCGTCATCATCATCATCATCATTATCATCATCATTGTAACAACCATTATTTTGAGAGGATCTATACACGTACCTTTGTATGCGTGCCCCGAACATGACTGATAATTGAAGCCCTGATGGTATATTCCTTATTACAAATATTGCATTTATAACGTTCACTATTATTAGCAGCATTAGGATTCTAACAAAAACAACAAAATAACAAAATTACTGTTTTGTGTTAATAATTATTAAATAATATATTTAAAATAAATAAATACATAAATAAAAGAAAAACAGCATTTAAAATGTGGCAAAGACAAGCCAAACCAGTCACTCATCACAAAATCCTGTTTCAGAAATTTGGCCAAAACATGCTGGAATGTTTGAAATCTATTTTATTACACTAAAACTAACCTTTATAATATATCTATACATTATGCTACGCTGTTATTTTTCCCATTTTCAATGTTAAAACATAATTTTTATCAATTTGGTGGTGGCTTCTGCTTGAGAAATGCCCGAAATCATAAACTTTGAAGGCTGATTTCTCAAATATTGTTTTTTAAACAGCTGTATGTTTAAACGCTTGTAACTTACAAAGGAAATGTCTGACTTAAATGATTCTTTTACCATTTTATAGCTCTCATTTTACAATTGAACACTGTAATAATAACTAAATATTGATTTTTGCGACGAGTGACTAGTTTGGCTTGTCTTTGCCACAAATATTGTTCCAGTATACTGTTGTTATTTTGTCATTTGTTACTAGGTACCTACTGTATATAGCGCCTTTCTTTTAGGTTACGAAGTGCTCTGTTTTCCCTGGTCATTAGGTCCACATACCAAGTGTTGTTGCCATATTGGCACAGAGGCAGGCAACCGCATCACAGGTACCATTCTCCTAGGTCAAGAGAAGCGCCGCAAATGAAGTGCCTTCCTCAAGACACAAGGGAAGTGCACAGCGAGGGATTAAAAACCCAAACTCCAAGTTGCGGAAACCACTTTTGTAAAGAGGCTATAAACTTTGAATTATAGGTCACCAAGCTATCATGCACCCCAAAAATATTTGATAAAAGATTTTGATTAATTAGGATACTTCTTCTTTCATTTTTAAAGTACTCCAACTTGGCTCTCCTATTATTGTAAAGATAGACAAACCTGTACAGGTCCGTGGTACCCATCCCCCTTTCTTAAGCGGGACCAGACTATGCAATGCTTTGAGAGACATCGTCACTCCTCACAGCGAGACCCCTGACAACGAGGTCAAGAGTCCTCAACCGGGGCGCCACACACTTGCACACTTAAATTATAATGTATAACTAACCTCCTGACAGAAATGGTAATGGTCTTTAAGTGATACCAGTAAGACAGCGGTGAAATCACAATCAAATGGACAAGGTACCCTTTGCTTTAAGCTAAACTGAGCTTTCCATTCCTTCAGTAAATCTTCATCTATCTCAATATTTGGTGATGTGAAAAGCTATCCACAGAAAACAAAAAAACAATGTTCAACTTTACATAAAATTATCAAATATCAGGTACCTCAACGTTTTAAGCTTTCACATATTATATATCACATACATAGATTCTAGGCATCTGACTGGTTAAGAAGTGGGTAACAAAAACGACGCACATCTCCGCTCATAGCGCATGCATACAGTCATTTCATCGTTACTTTGGCATCGACAATCCAATACTAATTGCGAGTAAAGCCGTCAATTATTAGTCTATGCGTGCCATATGTTTTATGGTGTTAGTTACTATTTTGTTAATTTTAGGTACTTCGCAATGTCTGTTACATCTGATTTCTTTTGACCACAAGCTTGTTAAATGCTGCTATTCTGATAGCAACATTGATTTATTGCTTTAAGTACTGCGACAATAACATTCAGAGGCGAATTTTAGAAAGTTAAGATAAAAAGTATTTAAGTTTTCATAGGTTTGTTTTAACCCCAGTTTGTGTTACCTAACTATGTAACTTAATTCATTCTAATTAAAGAGAGCCACAGATTTGCCAATAACAGGCCCTTAAAATGTTTGCTATAGATCGACTACAAAGTACCTTAATATTTAATACATTTAATCAAATTTAGATCAATCTTAATAATGTGATTTTAAATAGCAGCGGCGGATTTAGGGGGCGAAAAAAATATTTAAAAAAAAAATAAAGAAAAATTGATCACTCAAAACGCCTCAGAGGTTATTTTCAGACGTCTATAAAACCAAAATTTCCCCTAAGATGGTGTTATCTCGACCGGCCCTACTTTCGCCCACTTCCCCTTTTCTGCCCCGGCCCCTCCCTCTTTCGGACATATCTAGATTTCAATCTTCAAATAAAATATAAATAATGAGAGAAGGAAGTTGTTCCTACCATAAAGTCATTTGTGGATGTTTTAGTTCGTTTCTCTTCCTTTCCTGTATCATTAACTTCTACATAACCTTTCTCCTTCAATTCTTTCATAGAAGCCATTGCTCTGAAATGTAAAAAAAAAAATAGAAATTTATTTATTCCTAATTATTATGTACATACTAAATAATCTTTAAAAGTAACTCTCAATTTACTTTTTCCAAAAATACAAAACATATGTTCTAGGCATTGGGGAGGGACTAACAGCCTTTATGTGTAAAAAAAAACAAAAAAACAAAATAAGCCTGGGACATGTATTTACTATAAAGGGGTGAATTTTTTAAAAACACTGATTACTTCCACCTTCTGCTTACATCCCCCCTACCCCCACCCAAAAAAACTATCTTCTTTCAATGTTGCTTGCTTACGTTTTACAAACTTTCAATACAAAACCGAAACAGATTCTAAAGGAGCATGGGAAAATAATAAGTATGTATAAAACAGGCCGTATTTACCACGGAAGACTAAAGCCGATCAACCACTGTGCCCGACAGTTGTCGGCCGACACGATCCTATAACGAATGCAAAGCTACAACACGCAGGCAAAGGATCATTTTTAAAGATGATCCGTTCAGACTGCCACCGACAAACAGCTGATGGTGTCGCGTCGTTTAGCGCTCACAGGGAGCGGGGATGGATTCATTGTGCGACGTAGGGAATGCCCGGCATTAGTTTTCCATGCTCTTACAAAGTTGCAATACCTAACTTTGGTTGGTTCGATTGGTTGGATTTATTCGGTGTAAACACCAAGGATATCCCACGAAAGTCTAGAAGACATATTTCAATTGGGGTCCTTCTGGTGGTGATTGGACAGTACACCGAGAGACAATCCCCTACTCTACTCGGAAGAGTGTACTGAGTTCTTTAACGTGTACATGGGTCATGAATGCACTCGGGTTCAATGGCTTGAACGTCTCATCCGAAAGATGGTGCGCTATTGTAACTTGTATTTTAGCCTGGGTTCCAGGCCCTAATTTTGAGTTACTCTTTATTGCACTTGCCCACCATATCTAAGTTATATGGCGTCCCATACTCGATTTCATTTTTTTCGGATTAGGGCCTGGGCAAATGCTGTCTGATCATTCATGTGTACGATTTACTGTAACACATCAAATTTGATGTGTGATATCGTATGCATGATTGTCAAGTGATTGGCTTGCTAATGTATAATCAATCTTGATAATATTCAAATTGAAGATGTGCAGTGTCCCAACGGCTAAGCTAGGCAGCTAGCTTTTGCGTAGCTACTTGAATTAATTTAGTTAGTAAATTAGTTTTTGGCCTGCTGAACGACGTAATGGACTGATGACAGTAGTAGGAACTTACAGACAATCCTGTTTAGGCCTAGAGATTATTAAAAATGTAATGAATTAGTAAGAACTTACAAAAAGTATGCCCACCTCTCTCTACTACCCACCTCTCTCTACTACTACTAGTAGGCCTACTAGACTCTAGTTGGAGGCCTAGTTAGTAGGCCATCCTCCCGGAATGTTGTGCTGTGTACGTTGTAATATGGGCCATCTAGCCTAAGCTTAATTCGTCTTTGCCACTGCCCACTCGTCTTAGGTCTATTCTATATATTTTAGGTTCATTTTATTAGGGAGAGTATTTTTTAGCCATGCCTAACTAGCCGATGAGAGACGTGACTCAGTTTCTATACAAGTTCGTGGCTTTGAAAATGTGAGCATAGTGATTGGTTGAATGAATCACCCTTACTTACCTATGAGCTGCAGACCGTCTACGCTTCCCTGAATCATCAGTGAAAACTTCTTCTGTCTTGTCTAGGGAAGCTTTTTCTACCGTAGGAGCATGCCTACTACTGAGATGGTATTTCAGACCAGGGTCAGTGGTGTAGGTTTTCTGGCAAATTTGACATGTATATATCGCGGCTACTTCCTCGACGCCGCATCTTTTCATATGGTATTGGTAGCCTAAGACTGTTGTGAACGATTTTGTACAAGACTCATTTTTACAGTTGAGTTTTTTCTTCTGACGAAGAAGCTGTTTAAGTACTTGGGCTTCACTTTGCTTTTTATCCTTTTTCTGAGATTCTTCCACCTAAAGCAAGGAAATAATACATCTATAAATTTAAGCAAATGATATAATTACTAAATGTTTAAAGCAGACAAGGCATATGGATTAACCTTTCATTGAAATTAAAGAAAACTTTTCCTCCAACACAACCTATTCTATTATAAACAAAATGTTAAAAATTAGCTTCATTTTATATAGTCAGTTTAATGTACCAAGGAATGTAGTAGCTAAACAAACACAAGAACCACTCAATTTTACTTTTAAATCAGAAATTACAATATAAATTCCAATGCCAAATTTGTCACTTGTCATTTGAAGTGCCGGGGACTGGCAGAAAAAAAAAAATATTTTCGTTACATATCTAGGAAAACAATTGCAATAGTTGGTTTATAATATCCAGGTAACTGTTGATGAATAAATATCTAACTTTAATTGATAAAATTCTCTACCGTAAAACCCTGAATTGAAGCCCTGGGCTTCTTTTTTTTTTGCGAACTTTAGAAGGGCTTCAATTTGAAAATGAATGTTGTAAATTTTGTGAATTTGTACTATAAACAATAAATACGGCCACTGTAACATCAATCTGTATCATGGAGTGTATTTAACTGACATTAAATCACTTTAACTGCTGTATAAACCAAGCTTGTTATTAATTTATTTTGTTTTTTGGTGTACAGTTTATTCATGTACAGTGTATACAGATATATACTATACTGTACTATCTCAAAAAGAAGCCTATGCTATCTGGAAAAGAAGCCCATGGGCTTCTTTTCGAGGCTAATTTTGCAAACTAAAGAGGGGGCTTCAATTTGAAATGGACTTCATCCCGAGATTAAGCCCACTTGGCTTCAATTTGAGGCTTTATGATAGTTTAAATCAGTGGCATATGAAATGAGGACTGATGGGGGAGAGGGACGAAAGTTCAATGGGGCTCGTTGATTTAGTGAGGGGGCGCTAATTCACAAAATAATGTGATAGGTGACTTTTCTGCTTCTGACATTTTCAATGTGAGGGGCGAATAGGAAGTGCTAGATTTTTTGGGGGAGTGCACCCGTCACAACCCTAGATATGCCAGCCTAGTTGTTACATCAATAGGCAGAATAGTAGCATCATAAACATTCATCACTCACTTAACATACAATGCAAACACTACATAACATTGAAACTTACTACTGCCTTAGTGTGATTTGCTAGCTTGTGGTAATTTAAACTCCCTGGTGATTTGAAAATATTACCACACTCATTGCAATTAAAGCCATTTTTCTGCAAAAAAAATAAAATAAAATAAAGATATTACTTTTTATACTTTCAAGATGAAAAATGTAATATCCCATAATCATAATTATATTTAGGCAAGTCAAAAGTTTTTAACAAATAAAATTTGATAGTCTGGTCAGGGCATTCCACATTATTATTTTTATTATATCAGTTTTACAACAGCTGACCGGTTGGTTGAGAGGTATTGTTCCTGCTTCTCGTGCTGAAGACCCAGTTAAAACCCAGTCAGCGTTGGGTTTTAATTGGAGTCAGACATCTCGAATAACCTTCATATTGAGAGTTAGGCGGATTAAGGACAAGGTTTGTATCCGTTTGTAAGTTAGTTTACCGGAATATGTAGGCTTACCTCCTATAATTTATGATTATTATTATTATTCAATTGGATTTATTTGACTAGTAGTATGAAACAAAATACATTAGGGTGGGAGCTTTCGATCTGCCCTACGACGTGACTCTAGAACGGATTCACTCATCCATGACCGTCGGACGCTCTCTGCACAATGTAGATTCAGCCAAACTGCGTTCTAGAAATCCAGACGACAACTCTACATCCTCGAATGCGTGGATGACTTTATGTAATATCATTACGTTCTAGGTCCTACCGTCGTCGTGCAATCGGATGCTCCCTATCAACATAAAATCACAACCTACATAATATTCATGGCATTTGTCATAATGCCGCAGTATCGTTGTCAGTTTTTTGTAGTTCATGGAACACCAACGGCATTTTGCACTTTTTCCATTGTTTAAATGACCAACCCAAACATCTGCCTCCTCTTTATATTTGTCATACAGAGCTTTATACTTTTCATCTAATGTTGAGTAATCATGAAAATTTCTACCGTCCTCATGGTCAGTATCGGACTGCGTAGAAGCAGTGCAAGTTGATTCATCATCAGTTTTTTTCTTATTTACCACGCGACCAGATTTTGTGGTATATCCTGAGTTAGGGTAGGCATACTCATTATCCTCATAAACATCATCTTCCATGTTTTTTCTTTTTCGTTTTTTTTTTGGTTCATCATCACGCTTATTGGTTGTACTTTCTTTCACTTTTGTCTTTCTTGGTCTTCCTTCAAGATGAAATACAAAAAAAAGAAATCATTATTTTGCACCAGTAGAATGATCATAAATACTAACACAAGTAAATAAGTTCTCGTAATCTCGAAAGCTCCGATGAGGGCAGTTTAAAAAAGACAGTAGAGCACCGATACAAAAGAGATTTATTAATCAATCAAACATTCATTCAGCCAAGTATTCCTATAGCTCCATCAAAATTACACAATAACTATGACTCGTTGGTCTAGAGGCATGAATGTAGATTAGGGAGTGAGAGTTATTTGATTCAATTCCTGGGCGAGCCCATTACTTCTTTTTCTCTAAAAATAAAAAAGATCTATTAATCAATCAGCAAAAAAAATCTATCAGTCAGCCGAGTATTCCTAGAGCTCCTTCAAAATTATATAGTAATTATGGCTCGTTGGTCTAGAGGCATGTATGCAACTTAGGGTTTGAGACAAAGTAACTATGGCTTGTTGGTCTAGAGGCATGAATGTACAGTAGGTGAAAGGTCCCTGGTTCAATTCCAGGATGAGCCTGTTATTTTTTTTTCTCTAAAAAACAAAAAAAGCACAGTCAATCAGCAAAAAAGCAATCAATCAGCAGGGTATTTCTAGAGTTCCTCATCAGCTAAAAATAAATGATGAAATGGTTCAGGATGAAAACAATTTATTTCTTTTAGATGTGTTGCACAACTGACTTTCTAAGACACAAAAAGGAACGATTAATGAGATACAGATTTTTAAATATTTAAAAGCTGTGGGAAAAGGGGCCACAACCACACTTTTTTCCACCTTTTCCCCAAGTTTTTTAATATTCAAAAATCTGTATTTCATTAACCGTCCCTGAATTTTTTGTCACACAGCCGTTTTGTGTCTTAGACATCAGTTGTACAACATATCAAAGTATATTTTCCTCCAGAGCATGGCTTTAAAGATATATCATCTGCTATAAAACACCTAAAAAAATATTTTCAAAATCAATAAAAACACTGAATTCACACACCTTTTACAAAAATATCCTAAAGTGAATACCAGACGAGGATCTATACTGAATAGGGAAGGAATTATTCCTGTTGCGTACGGACAATTTTTCATATTCAAATTTTCAATGGAAAAATCAATAAAATCTCTTTTTACAGCCAAAGTCACATGTTGTTCCACAACACCATCCAAACAAGCTACACTGAACCACTCTAACCAATTACTGTTGTATAGAAACAATAAACCAAATAGAGTTTAATACACAGAAAGAACAATATCTGATATATATCAAGATATCTGACCAACAATAAAAAAAAATTAAATAAAAATGATGAATAAACAAAAATTGAATCAAAATACAAACCTCTTTTCTTCTTAACAACCACTTTGGAGCTGACCATATGATCTGACTTGTCAGTTGATTCTGTATTCTGCTCCAAACTTGTTTTCTTTTCCATTCCCAAAACCGTTGCCATTCTACCTGTAATTCCTTGTTCAATTTCTACTGCCTCATCTAACTTTTCACCTTCTTTTATTTCACCTTTGTTTATTTCCGGTTTAACATCATCATCTACCTTTGTCTGAGTTACCTGCTTTCTGGGTCTTCCCCGTTTTCTTGGCTTCTCGCTTGATGTAGGGGGTCCAGGAATAATTTTGTCACTTGATTTTGTGACATGCTCTCCTTGGATAGGTTTAGTGCTTTTCTTCTTGTGACTTGGTGGCAAAATCTGAGAGATATCTCTTATTACTTGTTCACCATCAGAGTTGCAATTTTCTGCTTTGGAAGTCATTTTGACTGCTGTAGTCAGTCTGTCATTTCAAGGTCAAATGGAATGGATTGTAAATTATATATTTATTAATATATATAATTATTAATGGATATACCTGAAATAGAATAAGAAAAACTCAATATTGTTTATAATTGGTGTAGACTGAAATATACTGTAGGTGAGCACAAAGTATCTTTTTTTATAAATGATATTTATAGAGAATGACTCTTCTAGCGTTTTTTCAACTTTGTTTATTATATACAGATATTATAAAATAGAAATAAATTAGGCTTTATTATATCAGTTACCAGTTTGTTAAACTTAGAATTAGGCTACTCTCATTTCTTGTATTTTATGCCTGACCTCAGCTTAACTTACGTTTTATTCTCGAGCCTTTGCTGGTTTTCAACAAAGCTTAATCATCAGTGAGTTCATGCACCTTGGGAACAATTTCATGAAATCTTGTTGTTGCTGTCTCACTCATAATTAAGCTGTGTAGAAACCCAGCGAAAGCTCGAGAATAAAAAAAAAAAGTTAATGTTATTATTATGACAACTTCATGAAATAACGTTGTCATGTAATACGTTTGAATGAAAACATTAAAATGTTACTTTGTGATGATTGACTAATGTACAATACAGGCTTAGGCCTAGAAGAACATCTTTTTGATTTCGTGGTAATTGAGTGCTTCTTTTAGCAGGGAACCTCTATATTTTGGCATCAGACCTAGTAGTATTGTACGTTGTCAAGTGTGTTCATTCAATTCAAGGCAATTCAACAACAACAAATGACGTGAGTAAAATGAAAAGAATACAAATATTTCCAATGCATAATTTGAAAAGTTAACAATGAATTAATAATTTATTGAATGACACTACATATTATTGTAGGAAATTAAATTACATTTAATAAAAACACAATTATAATTAAATCAGTGCCGGGGTTGAGCCAAGGTCTTGGGCGCCACGGCTTGGGCTGACGCTATATTAGAGTGCTGAAAATTAAGTTGAACTGACATTAACATACATTTTCAGAATCGATAAATTTACCTGACCTGAATGCAAATTTATTAAAGTATGACACATTGACAATGATATTTATTTCACTTAAATATATCAAATTATCATTTTATTTACTGAGTTGTTTACAGTCACATATAGGTTTCGGGACAAAACGGCAATAAGTCAAAACCGTAAAAAACAAAAACGGCAACACTTTTTGACCAAAACCAAAAGCAATGCTAAACAATTTATGGCATAAATGTAAAAACATAAAAAAATAAACCAGGCCTAGCCTAATTATAAACATGAAAGTGTACTACAAATAAATACGGTAAAAATTAGGCTAAATAGCAGCAGCAGCAATAATATCATCAATAATAGTATGTCGTCTGGGGCCGAGTTGGTTTTGGTCCGAGTTGATTTGGGCTGACTTGGTTTTGGGCCGAAGTGACCTGCTACCTGCCTAGTTTAGTACTGTAGACCTACCTAGACCTATCCAGACGGCATCCTAGGCCCCCTCCTACACTAGGCCTATCCCTACTAGCAAGGCCTAGCTAGGCCTAGTAGTCCTTGCCTTATACTCAGTGAGTTGCTGAACTGAATACTTAACATTACGTACCATTGATATTATGGCTTTATAGCCAGTTAATATAACAATTTAAGCAAAAACCAATAACTTAGTTGAATGCAAATTTCATATTGTTATTTTTCGTCACCTTACTTTACAACACAGATGACATGTTGTTGCTGTTTATTCGAGCGATTGCCAACTCGAGCGGATACAAATTCGAGCGGATACTGTAGTTCGAGCGAAAACATTGATGACAAACACCCCCAAGTCAGTGGTGCGTAACCAACAGAAATAAGATAAGCTTTGAGCTTTCAGGCTGAATTCTTGTCCTCATGTTCTAAAGCTACTCTCACAAAATGTTCTCAAAAGACTATTCTACACCACTATGATTTTAAAAAAAATGAAAAATGTTTGACCTCTGAAATCAAGATGGAAAAAGAAAAGCCTGTCTAAGTAGTGTATTAAAATAGGCCTAGTATGCATTACAGTGCAGACAACCGTTTTAGTTACTATGAGAGCTGTGTTAAAAAACATGATTTACTATACTATACTTTTCTATAAAACATAACTTGTACTTTATAATAAGAGAAATATGTATATTATCGGTACCTGGAACAGTAAAAATAAGAAAGTAGGCCTACTATGCTACTTCACTGCAATGCAGGCCTATTTTAATACTACTTAGATAAGCTTTTCTCTTTGCATCTCGATTTCAGAGGTCAAAAACATTTTTCAATTTTTATTTAATCATATATTGGAGTAAAATAGTCTTTTGAGAACATTTTCCAGAAAAAATTAATGTGATACGACCCTCCGTTATGGAGTATTTTTAGATATCATAAGGACAAGAATTCAGCCTCAATGCTTATCCTTTTTTTTTTGTTGGTTACGCACCACTGACACGCTTTGGGTTGTTTGTCATCACAAGATGTCTATCGATTCGTGGAAAAGGCGTATTGGACAACCCGTCACTTACACCGCACACTTAAGTTCGAAGAATTTGAAGACATAAGTATTGTTTTAAAAATATGAATGACTCAATTTCTTAGATGCCTGGAAATGCCATTATTGTGGAAGAAAATAAGACAATAAATAAATATTAGATAGATACCTACCAGGATATAGAGACGTGACCTATAGATAATAAATAGAGACGATAGAAGGCTTATATTATTAGAATTGAGACCACACGCACCCGATCTACTTCCTTTGATCCGATCGCTGAATGAATAACTGGGCCCGCTGTGATCAATCACCCCGGTTTCAGAAGTAAGTAAAACCAAGCTTTTATGGAGAAAACTGAAAACAGTTTCATTATTACTAGCAATAGGTTTACGCTATTATTGTTAAATTAAATTATTTTTAATTATTACTATTACTCTCTTATACTTCAATTAATAAATAATTTAGTTTATATTTCGATGTACAAACACTGCAATTTTGGTAAACTATGTTGATGATGACATAATTAATGTCGAAATATTGAATCCCGACACGATGGCGTGCATTTCGATACTTGGAGTATGTATACTATCTTATCTGAGATTAATCAGTAGATCTTTCGGTCTATGCTGGAAATGTAATAGAAATTTTAGTTCCATCGGCAAGAGGTGCAGGTAAATCATTGAATTGCAGATGGTATTGCAGAAAGCAATACTGAAAAAAATATACACTGACAAAGTAGGCCCCTATACAGTGAAGGGGAATAACCTTACATCCTCTAAGACTGTGGTCCGGTATTTGGATGAGGGGATATGTTCAACCTGAGACACAGTGGACGTCTTTTTCATATTTTATTCATCCCTTCATTTTCCCATATTTTAATTATTAGCCAATTCATTCTTATATATTTCATCTATAATTGTTTTAATACCGTATCCTAATATTTCAGGAAGGAAGCAAATGCATGAAATTAAGAACAGGCCTAATGTTTTTGTTTACCGCACGGCCTAGGATTTGCGGAATATAGGCCTATCTAGAACAACATTAATTAACGCCATGTTTATTCCACAAGCTTTAACCACTAGTGTTTTGCTTCAGGTGGAAAAGCACGGTGGGAAAAAAAAAACCGTTTCATAATTTTACAAAAAAAGTGAAAGGTTGAAAAAATTGCGAAAGAAAAATCCAGGTAGCGGAAATGAGTTCTTTTCAAGATGGCTAACAAAATAGACAAAAATACGGTATGAGGGAGAAAAAATCGGATAATGTCATCACAATATGTCATATTTATGAATCGATGTACAATTTTTTAGAAAGTTTTCAATTAAGGTTTATGTATTATTTTATAAAGCATTACGACAATATTTCGTGTCTAAATTCGATAAAACGGCAGTGAAGGTCGCCAAAAACCACTAAATCTGGTCATTTTTCAACTTCTTTTTGTAATAACTTCGCAAACACTTCATCGATTTTTTTTGGGAAAAGATAAAACTGATCGGAATTTAATAATCATTACAACAATTACAAATTTATAAGTGTAATGTTATGATGACATAATTAATGTCGAAATATTGAATCCCGACACGATGGCGTGCATTTCGATACTTGGAGTATGTATACTATCTTATCTGAGATTAATCAGTAGATCTTTCGGTCTATGCTGGAAATGTAATAGAAATTTTAGTTCCATCGGCAAGAGGTGCAGGTAAATCATTGAATTGCAGATGGTATTGCAGAAAGCAATACTGAAAAAAATATACACTGACAAAGTAGGCCCTGTCTCTTATACACATCTAGATGTGTATAAGAGACAGCTTATACTCAGTGAGTTGCTGAACTGAATACTTAACATTACGTACCATTGATATTATGGCTTTATAGCCAGTTAATATAACAATTTAAGCAAAAACCAATAACTTAGTTGAATGCAAATTTCATATTGTTATTTTTCGTCACCTTACTTTACAACACAGATGACATGTTGTTGCTGTTTATTCGAGCGATTGCCAACTCGAGCGGATACAAATTCGAGCGGATACTGTAGTTCGAGCGAAAACATTGATGACAAACACCCCCAAGTCAGTGGTGCGTAACCAACAGAAATAAGATAAGCTTTGAGCTTTCAGGCTGAATTCTTGTCCTCATGTTCTAAAGCTACTCTCACAAAATGTTCTCAAAAGACTATTCTACACCACTATGATTTTAAAAAAAATGAAAAATGTTTGACCTCTGAAATCAAGATGGAAAAAGAAAAGCCTGTCTAAGTAGTGTATTAAAATAGGCCTAGTATGCATTACAGTGCAGACAACCGTTTTAGTTACTATGAGAGCTGTGTTAAAAAACATGATTTACTATACTATACTTTTCTATAAAACATAACTTGTACTTTATAATAAGAGAAATATGTATATTATCGGTACCTGGAACAGTAAAAATAAGAAAGTAGGCCTACTATGCTACTTCACTGCAATGCAGGCCTATTTTAATACTACTTAGATAAGCTTTTCTCTTTGCATCTCGATTTCAGAGGTCAAAAACATTTTTCAATTTTTATTTAATCATATATTGGAGTAAAATAGTCTTTTGAGAATATTTTCCAGAAAAAATTAATGTGATACGACCCTCCGTTATGGAGAATTTTTAGATAACATGAGGACAAAAATTCAGCCTCAATGCTTATCCTTTTTCTGTTGGTTACGCACCACTGACACACCTTGGGTTGTTTGTCATCACCTCAAGATGTCTATCGATTCGTGGAAAAGGCGTATTGGACACCCGTCACTTACACCGCACACTTAAGTTCGAAGAATTTGAGGACATAAGTATTGTTTTAAAATATGAATGACTCACTTTCCTGGATGCCTGGAAATGCCATTATTGTGGAAGAAAATAAGACAATAAATACGGTAAATATTAGATAGATGTATACCTACCTGGATATAGAGACGTGACCTATAGATAATAAATAGAGACGATAGAAGGCTTATATTATTAGAATTGAGACCACACGCACCCGATCTACTTCCTTTCGGATCCGATCGCTGAATGAATAAATGGGCCCGCTGTGATCAATCACCCCGGTTTCAGAAGTAAGTAAAACCAAGCTTTTATGGAGAAAACTGAAAACGGTTTCATTATTACTAGCAATAGGTTTACGCTATTATTGTTAAATTAAATTATTTTTAATTATTACTATTATTCTCTTATACTTCAATTAATAAATAATTTAGTTTAAACATTTCGATGTACAAACACTGCAATTTTGGTAAACTATGTTGATGATGACATAATTAATGTCGAAATATTGAATCCCGACACGATGGCGTGCATTTCGAAACTTGGAGTATGTATACTATCTTATCTGAGATTAATCAGTAGATCTTTCGGTCTATGCTGGAAATGTAATAGAAATTTTAGTTCCATCGGCAAGAGGTGCTGGTAAATCATTGAATTGCAGATGGTATTGCAGAAAGCAATACTTAAAAAAATATACACTGACAAAGTAGGCCCCTAACAGTGAAGGGGAATAACCTTACATCCTCTAAGACTGTGGTCCGGTATTTGGATAAGGGGATATGTTCAACCTGAGACACAGTGGACGTCTTTTTCATATTTTATTCATCCCTTCATTTTCCCATATTTTAATTATTAGCCAATTCATTCTTATATATTTCATCTATAATTGTTTTAATACCGTATCCTAATATTTCAGGAAGGAAGCAAATGCATGAAATTAAGAACAGGCCTAATGTTTTTGTTTACCACACGGCCTAGGATTTGCGGAATATAGGCCTATCTAGAACAACATTAATTAACGCCATGTTTATTCCACAAGCTTTAACCACTAGTGTTTTGCTTCAGGTGGAAAAGCACGGTGGGGAAAAAAACCGTTTCATAATTTTACAAAAAAAGGTTGAAAAAAATTGCGAAAGAAAAATCCAGGTCGCGGAAATGAGTTCTTTTCAAGATGGCTAATAAAATAGACAAAAATACGGTATGAGGGAGAAAAAATCGGATAATGTCATCACAATATGTCATATTTATGAATCGATGTACAATTTTTTAGAAAGTTTTCAATTAAGGTTTATGTATTATTTTATAAAGTAATGATTATATTTTATAAAATGGCCGCCATCTTGGTTTTCAAAATGGCCACCATATAAAACATATGTTTATCTACATTCTGCTTCTAAACCACTTGGAATTATAAATCTAAGGTCTAAAAACATGTTTGTATTGTCAAAAAAATACTAATGT